TCACGGTACTAATTATTCCATTTCATGAAACTTAGTACAAAGATGCTCTAGGACAATGTACAAACCTAATTAGTTTGGGGTAAAAATCTGTTCATATTAATTCCCTAATAAGCATAATAATTCATAATTTTTTGGTTCTAATCACATTTCAATTAAACTTGGAGACATAGATTTTCTGTTACATTGCGCAGACCTCATTAGTTTTACACTCAAATCTGGTCATATTAATTTTCTGATTTGCATAATTAGTTTTCAGCTAAGTAATTTCGAATTATATTTAATGTGTCTCCAATACTCTCAGCACATGGGAGTTCTTTCTAAGCTTTCTTTGATTACAAACTTTTATGTATTTTTTCATATTTTTTTTCCTAATTTTGAACCAAAGGTTCATCAAAATTGGGGTCACAGGAAGGCACAGAGTCTTTCACTAAGATCCTAGTGACTGTCACTTGGGTCCGTTTGAGTCAAAATGCCATTCACTGGTGTCCTACGAGATCACAGTGATTTTTACTGGGACACTAGGGAGTCACAGTGACTTTCACTGTGGTCCTAGGGAGTCACAGTGACTTTCACTGTGGGCCTAAAGAGACGTAATGATTTTCACTGGTTCCTAGAGTGGCTTTCACTTTTGTCCTGAAAATTCACAATAACTTTTATTTGGGTCCTGAGGAGTCACAATTAATTTCAATGGGGTACTAGGGAGTTATATTGACTTTGAGCTTGGGTCGTTGGGAGTCACATTGACTTTCATAAGTGAAGTGAAAGTCAATGTGACTCCAAGGCAGTTATTCAGGGTTGAACAAATGTTTAATTTATTTTTTGTTTAAATGTTCTTTGAATGTAGCTTTACACCAAACCCTCATTCTATATATCAGACTTATTAACTTCACAAACATTGTTTTGAGTTAAATCTGGGTTTTACAGACAACACAAAATTGTTATTTTTATAATACAAAAATGATATGTGCGTAAATACTTTCTGGCAGGTCTGTATCATTATATAAAGGGGTATTTAAATATTTCTAAATAAGGGATGAAATTATTTTACTCATGTGTCTCAAGTATAATATTTGTCATGAAAACTTGAAAGGTAACTTGAAAGTGTCAATTTAGTTGCAACTATTCAATCAGCTAATATGCATCTGTTATGAAGTGTTCAAATTTTGCATAAACGAAGAATGTATTTTTGATACTTTGTATCAACCCATATCGAACATGATGACTGTGGTACTTTAAAGACTTATGATGAGTTCATGTTCTTGCACTAAGGACTCTAAATGTATTAATGTTGTAGTCACAGTGATTGATTACTGGAACTTTAAACTGAGCAGGAAATGTCACCTTCTATTTCTAGAATGCCTCTACAGTATGTACTTGGTGAATGGGATTTCAGAGATTTGACGTTGAAGCTACGACCTCCGGTTTTCATACCTAGACCCGAAACAGAGGTAAAGTTATTCCAGTGAAAAACCATTTATTTTATTAATAGTGTTGTTTCTATTCTGAAAAGACTAGATTCATATTGAGACTCACTCTCATAGGCCTTTGTGTGTGTGAAATGATGGACATGGCCAACACACATTTGACACAGGAATTTACTTAAATATATATTACAAAACTATTTCCGGAATACCGTACTCGACCACGTTAGCGCCCAGGGTCCTCAACTCATATTGTATTTATTTTATAAAACAACAATGATTTTAAATCATTAAATGAATGTTGTCTAAATTCGTGAAACAACTTTTGAGATATTTTTTTTCAGGAATTGGTTGAAATGATTTTACAGTATCACCGACCGAGGATTAACCTCCATTTTTTAGAAGTCGGCTGCGGAAGTGGAGCGATATCGCTATCACTTCTCCATGAAATACCTCAGGTGTGTGTAAAGTCAGATAATAAATAATGGCTTGCAACTATAATAACATTAAATAGTATTTGTTCAGGACTCTTCTTTCAACATTTGTTTTGCACACCCTACAGGCGATTGGTATCGCTATTGATCAAAGCCATGCTGCAGTCAAATTAACAGAGCATAATGCTACAAGGTAAATGTTGTCCAATCTGAAATTCTCATATCGCAGCGATATAATCGGTACTGATGTACAATTTTGTTTTCTCTGTTTTTCTTTGCAAAAACACACAAACTAATGACATTTACCGTGCAGATAGTCATGTTTAGTGTGAAACATCAGATATTTCAAACTCTGCATGTGTGAATGATATGCATCATCGTCATAGTTACATATACATGGAATTTGATTCAAACATTCTTAACTGGAAATTCTGAGACAACAAGATCGCAAACAAGGCCTAATAACATTTCTATGATAGCTGCATTATTAATAACTGTATGCAGTTGTTGGGATGTTTTAGAAAAACCAATTAATTTTGTGTGCAATGTAATTAATTAAATGACACTAATTATATGTAATGTAATTTCAATATCTCGTACCTATAAACTTTAATCCCACGTTATTTTCACAGACTGAATTTACACGATAGACTAACAGTTCATAACATTGAAGTAGTCGACTCCTTCAAAATACCTAACGATATTGCTGGACCTTACGATGCTATCATCAGTAACCCACCTTATATATTCCATGACGACATGAAAGACCTTGCTCCCGAAATATCCAGGTAAACTCTGTGCCGATTAGCTGATGATCTAGTGACATTCAAACTATGGGGTTGACATATTAATTGTTGTACAATATGAACTGTGTCTTGCTAGAAAAGGCTTGTGAAACTACGCTGATAATAATAATATTTGAAGTGGAGATTAATGTCTGCGAGTCTGTGTACTGTATCTACTCTAGGCGCATGCATCGTTAATTGAAATATACATAAACTGAAATTTTATTTTTTATTTTTTAAGCAAGCACATGCTTACTAGAATCTTTTTTTCATATGACTTCACTATTTATTTATGAAGAAATTTGAATAACAACAAATGAGTAAACAAAAACTAAAATAGCCACCAACTTATTTATATCTGTTGTGGTGTTGAAATCCCAGTAGACAATAAACTTGTTTGTGATTCAATTGGGGTAAAATAATGTCTACTTGTGTTGTCCCCATTTGATCTGTGACACTCTCCATGATTTCATCATTTGTATTTTTAGTAAAATCAGGTAAAGCATGACTAACGCTATAGAGCAAATAACGCTATAGAGCAAATTATTTTTTTAATATGGTATTGTATTTTAGCCAATGAAATCCCCCCCCCCCCTGATAATTAAGTGTAATGACTTTGGTGTAAGTAATTGATTTCATTGAGTGGTATTCACCTGACAGTCTGCTATATTCACTGTAGCAATGATACTGTATAAGAAACGAGCGCAAGACATCAGAATATTGTGAAATTTCATGGAAGTGGAAATGTCACTGGTTTCCGATAGGCTGGGAGTTGCAGTAAATTCAGTTATTGTTCTCAACATCAAAACAATGTCCACAACCGAGCGCGAGTGCAAAATTTCATATGTTTATTATTAATGTTTAGATATGAAGACACCAAAGCACTCCATGGTGGTCATGATGGTTTAGAGGTAACAAAGAATATACTAAAGATGGCAAGATACTTATTAAAGCACGAAGGGTCAATATGGTTTGAATGTGACCCAAGACACCCAACAATGATCAAATCATGGCTTGATAATCATCCAGAGACTGACGTTAAGTTTGTTGATGTTGGTTATGATTTCTCAGATAGGTAAGATTATGTTCACAGTCACCAAATTCCAGGCTCTCAATTCTACACTTGACCACTGAATTCTGAGAATATTCACTATTTAATGTATAGCATGTACATTCACTTTGGTTCTAGGCAGCAATAGACAATTCTGAATTTGCTCTATTAGAAGCATTGCTCTTACGTAAATGACAGAGATAAGCCTATGAACAAAATCGTTTTTGGTTTATGTTCATCTATTGGGGATGTAATGAAAAAATATGATAGTGTTTATTTCTAAACTATAAAACACTCAGGTGTACATATTTTTATAATGGGTACATGCTATTCAAATTTCAAATTAGTAATTTTCCTATACTAAAAGTTTTTAACTTTATCATTTGTATCTATTGCATTGTAAATACTACTACAGCAAAGAATTTTATTGATCGATTGATGGATTATGGATTGATTAATAGGTGGATTCATTGATAAATGTATTGATTGATGGATTAAGATATTAATGGGTGAATGGATTTATTAAGTTGATATCCCCGGTAGATTGTTAAAATGATCATATTGATGAACTGACTGATTGATTGATTGATTGATTGATTGATTGATTGATTGATTGATTGATTTGATTAATTGGTCAATCAATAGATAGATTTATGGATTGATTTGATGATTGTTGAATTTAGCAATTGATGAATTGACTAATCAATGGATTTAATAAATTGATCAATTGAAAGATAGATTGATTAATTGATGCATTGATTTGATTGATTCATGGATTTATTGATTAATAGGTGTATTGATTGAATGATGAATTGAATGTTTGATGGGTAGATGGATTGTGTACAAGTGTACTACCTATATGATTGCTTGAAAACACTTGTGTAATCAGAAACTACGTCACCACATAAACATATTTACAATCTCTAAAAGTTTTAATTTGTGTAATGACTTTCTATTTTTGTTGCAGAGCCAGATTTTGTCACTTAAAGTATATTCCCACCAAAGTGAAGACATAGACGAGGCATGCATTCATTCAACAGTTTAGATATTTTAGATTTTTCAATATTAAATAACTGTGCCAAACATAATTTGAATCACAGATTTATCATCAGTGTTCATATACAAACACAGATTCAGTACTAGACTTAACAATGTATCTAAACCACGGCTTCGCCTAATGTACTACTAGAAAGGATAGAACATTAATTATTCACCGCATTCATTATATTTGTATACAATTGTATTCATAGACTCCTTAAATTAGCAAAGATACAGATTTGCTGAAGTACCGGTACAACATGTTTTACATTATGTGATATTGTGGTGTACAACTGATGCAATAAAATGTTACTATTACTATCATATGTACATTGTATATTCAACAAATTAGTCTGTTTTACTGAATCCATATTGTTGTTATTTTCTAGTTTATTTAACCGGAAACATCTGTGTATGTAGCTGGGCTGCCGCTGAAAATATAACAGTTTTAGCCATGGTGGCAAGTACCACGTTGTTTTCATATAGCTAATTGCCAACATGTTGCTACTTGGCAAAAAAAGGAAGAAGACAGTATTATTTTCCAGAACTAGCAAATAGAAATATTCTAATATGAGTGGCTTAACATGTTATATAGTTGTCGCATACGACTTGTTTACCACTTCCGTGTGACTGAGAATGTTCTAGAACTGTAGTGTCTCTGGGTGGAATTTTT